ATCCATGCTGCTAGTTTATTTATAGTTTTCAGATTGCTAAGGGTGTTGAAGTGCGTCTTTTAGGTGCTGTAGTAGATTAGTAGTTGATTCGTTCTAGGAGTAAATAGTTTATTAATATAATCAGTAGAGTGAAACAGTCTGTATAGAGAGCGTTTGAAGCTTGTAACCGAAGAGCAAGTTCTGACATCTAGGGGTAGGCTATTCCATATTTTAGAATACATGACTGTGAAGAAGTTTTCACGGAGTGTTGACTTAAAAGAATGAGTTGTCACTGTGGAAGTTTGGTTACGCAGATCGTAAGAACCTTCCTGTGCGAATTGTATGTCCCTGTTACCTGAAAATGATATTTTGTGAAGGACCTTAAAGAAGAATATTAGGTTTATAATAAGTCGCCTTGTCCAAAGTGGGTCAAGTTTTAGGATCATGCACCGTGAGATGTAGTCTTTCTTACAATCGTAGCCAAGCAGTTTTGAGGTAAAATATCGTTGGATACTTTCCATCCTTAGCTTGTCACGTGTGCGAGTGCTGCTTATAATAAATGGACAGTATTCTAGTAGTGGTCTGACACATGTTTTGTACAGAATTAGCTTGGCTTCATTGTCGTGAAAGTTCCTGAGTATGCATCCTAAGAGCATCCTCGATTTTCTAGTCTGTGATGCTACTTGCTCAGAGAATGTCAAGTCACTAGAGTACCTCAGGCCTAGGTCAACGACACTTCGGAGTCTTGTTAGGTTAGCAGATTGGAGCGTTAATTTCAGGTCAATTGAGGGTGCGCCGAAGCAGATCCAGCCACATTTGTTCAGATTAAATTGGAGATTCCATAGGGACGACCAAGCAGTCATTTTATCTAATTCCTTCTGTACTACATTCTCGAAGTTCCCTAAGTCATCACGTTGGAATGTATAAGCTACTTTTAGGTCATCTGCAAAGATGAATGGTTTCCCGTGCGTGAAGCAAGCGCATATGTCATTGATGTATAGTGTAAATAGGAGGGGTCCAATGACACTACCTTGTACTACACCAGAAGTGATAGGGCTAGGTTTGGAGGTTGCAGACCCGAGTTTAACTATTTGGGACCTATTGTTAAGGAATGATTTAAGCCATCCTAATAATGGGTCACGTATTCCTAAGGAGTTCAGTTTATTTGTTAGCAGTAAATGGTCAACACGGTCAAATGCCTTAGAAATGTCAAAGTAGATGACAAGTACTAGTTGCCGTCTGTCACGACTGCTGGTTACAAAATTGAAGAAGTCTAGGTGACATGTTAAACATGATCTGGATTTCAGGAATCCATGTTGGTTCGGACTTATAATATTGCAGCTAAGCATATGTTTGATTAAGTTATCTTTGACTAGTCTCTCCATGATTCTAGATGCTATAGGTGTGATATTGATTGGCCGGTAGTTACTGACTTCAGTTTTCGAGCCAGATTTGTGTTTAGGCATAATGAATGTGTCTTCCATATGTCAGGGTAAGTTTGGGTTTCTAGGGACATTGTGAATATTTTAAGCAGCAGTAGAGGAATGTCAGGGCCACCATATTTATAGAAGTAAGATGATATACCGTCGGTACCGAAACCTTTTGAACTTTTGAGGGTTCTTATAGTTTGGTTAATATTAGCGTAAGTGAATTGAACAGTGCTAATTTGGTTTGGTGTGAGTGGAGATGGAGTTTGTGCCATATTAGTAATAGGGTGTATATCGAGTAGCTGGACTGAGGGCTTAAGGTAGTTACCTGCAAACGTTTTGTTGAATAGTTCACATATGTCTGCAGAGTTAGTGCATAGCCTACCTTTGTCTATGAGGAGAGAAATGCTGTGATTTTTGCGATTCATTCGCTTCCTTAAGATTTCTGTGAGTGCATACACTCTAGCAGGACTGGCTACTGCGATGCGTTCTTCCTTTCTCATACGGAAATCTCGAGCTTGTGAGATGGAGCTAAGGGTGTTAAGTATTAGACCTAGAGTGCCAAAGTCGTGGTGTTTGAAGTAACTTGTTGAGTGTCTTCAGTTTCGTACGATCCTTTGGTTTTATGAATGACTTTCTGTGTGGGGAAACCTTTAGTGTTTGGAGTGGAATGACAGCATCTAAGCATATGTTTGAGTTATGGTAGAAGATGGTTAGGGCTCTCGATAGGTCATCAGTAGTGAAGTATTCATCCCATTTGGAGGATCTTAGCATCGATTCAACTAAGGCCCAGTTTGCCTTACTATAGTTCCTATATATTACTTGTTGTGAAGTGGAGGTATGAGATGCATTGCTACTCAGCGGAATTGGCAGTGCACACATCACTGTTTTGTGGTCGCTCCCTGGAAACTCAGAACCTACTAGCGTTGAAAGGGGGCTTATATTGTGGCAGAAGATTAAGTCTAGTACGTTGTTACCTCTTGTGGGAGTAGTGACAGTTTGTTTCCAGCCAAGTATATCCAGTGTGTCTAAGAACTTATCAAATTTAGTTGGGCCTGTGGGTATATCCCAGTTGATTTCAGGTAAGTTAAAGTCCCCACATAGGATCTTATGATCGTATTGTAAGTCGGATAATTGCTCCAGAGTATTAATAAGTTGGGTCTCGTAATTACTAAAGGTGCCAGGTGCTCTGTAGGTGCATCCAATTAATGCTGTTACGTTATTTAAGTGTACATTAACCCATAGAGTCTCAGGCATGTTAAGTGTACTACTTTCTAGCTGTGATACAGTAAGTGCATTCAGAAAGTACATGAGACAACCCCCTCCCTTACCACCTTCCCTGTCACACCGAAAGTGTGTGTAGTTATCTAAGCTTATTTCTTCATCCAGGATGTTCGAATGACACCAAGATTCAGTGATGACAATTACAGGGGGTTTGTATATTACTGTGAGTGCTCTGAGCATCGGCAATTTATTTAGAACAGATCTAGCATTTATGAGGATTACGTAAAGATGAGAGTTGAAGTAGCATTTGAAGTATTTAAGTTCGTTAGTCAGCCCCGAATATGGTTCAGCACCCAGTAGTTCTGCTTGACATGACGATCCTATGTTAAGAGGAGTTTCAGCATCATGCTCACCTATGTCTATCGAGTTGGTGTGTGCTGTTTTCGGTGAAGAATTAGGAGTTGGAGTACTGGATTTGCTATAGACTAAGGAATTTTTATTTTTAGTTAGGTTACAGAAGTGGGTAGGGTTCTTTATTTGGCCTATACTTGTGCAAGTGTCAAGTGTGTCCAATGGATACGGGTGCACTAGACCGTTCCTGTTTTCATGCAAGGAGGGAGCCAGCACTAGTGGTTTAGGAGTGTTAACATCCCTACCAGCTGTTTTTTCAACGCTGACAGGGACGCGGGGGATAAAAAATGATTGGATCCTTGTGATGACCATGGCTTATTATTCCACCTATTGTTTGATGCTAGTTGTGTCCTTGTGTGGGTTTCGTGTGTACTGCATTTTGGGTTAGTTCCCAGCAGACTTGTACCATATATCCGGTCGAAATTTGTTTGTGTGCCATACTCTGAAGACCCTGAGTTGTTGGTAGCCGAGTTCTGACTATTACCACTTGTACTATTGAGGGTGACATTGTTGTGACATTGGATATTAGTGTGTGCCACGGTGCGATTTAGCACGTTGTGAGTGCTAATACTATTAACCGTGGGGAGTGTGGGCTTATTTAAGCTGCCACTGTTTTTGTTGGTATGATTTAGGGGCATATTTTCCTTATCTTTAGCAATGGAATTATAGCTAGGAGAGGACAAAGTCGAATTTCGGGGGTTTTGACTTTTTTCTGGGGTTATTTAGTGGCATTTTAGATTCTGCGGTGATGGGTGGTATGGTTTTATTATTTATTTGGTTACAGTCTAGTGGCCTTTCGGCTGGTGTTGCACTCTGATGGGATATTTCTGTGTGTTTTGAGAGGGGTGATGCGGTGGGGTCTACTGTATCTTTCACAGGGTTGGGAATAATGGCTGCTTGCAATGTCCTATTACCTATTTCACAATTAGTCTTAGCGAGATAGTTGTATGCGCGCCTTTCTATGACTGTTTTGTCCACCCCGACCTTTATATGTTTGTAGTTTCTGGCTTGCGATAGGGTGTGTTGGGAGTGGATGAATTTTCTGGTCTCTGCCGGTGTTTCGAACTGAAAACGAATAGGACAACACTTTTCATGTTGACTCTTCTTCAGCCTATAGCACTTAGTCTTGGAGTTAGGCATTTTCGCTTCACTAAGTCTAAATTACAACTGGGGGCTGTGATAATTGATAATATGGCAGAAACAGGTTTAAGCAGGTATGAACATATAAAGTAAAATTATATTTCAGTGGTTTACACAATTTAAGTTTTTGTTAGTGGTAATATTTCTGGCAAAATTACTGCTCCTGTTCATATCACTGTTGGAATTTTTTTAAGAACATCTTTCAACCTACAGATTGATCGCCCAGTCTGAAGATGATAAGAAATGAGTGAATAATGGGCATGACCAGTAGTTAGAAGTGGGTGAAATTTGGTTAAATAACAACTTTTCCTATTTTTACCAGGACTTAACCAACACTTCACAGCTTTTACCAACACTTAATCAGCATATAACCATTGTTTAAGCTTATATTTCCCGATGATTTTAGGCAATATTTTACAAAAAGATTTAACCAATATTTTCCATTATCCTGCAATAACTTTCCAGCTCCCAGCTAGCATTTTTTCGGGCGCATTGGGGGCAATAATGGTTAGATCTCTAACCATTATTTAGAAAAAATTCCGATTCTGAACAACTTTTAGTCAGGATTTGCCCATTATATTACCATTCTAATCATGTGCCCAAAATCATGCCTATTTCAACTACTATTTAACCATTCTTCGGGCAATTATATCCGACTGGGTATTTTTAATATTAACTGATGTGAAGTGAGGTTTATATTTTTGTTTCTTTTGTTATCCTGCAACTAATATTTATCTAACATGGATCAGAAAGATAAGCAGAATGAACACCGTTATTGTTATGGTGGAGTGCTAACATAAACGTGACCGACAGACTTACAACAAAATTTCAAACTCTGCGCCACCAAACCCCTTCGTAGCTAAAAAGTATGCCCACGTTTTTTCTTGTTTTGGAACTGTTTCAGGTCCTTGTAAATTCTTATCCATGTCACTTCTGTAGTTTCGCTGAACGCAGTCGGAGAAAGAATGTCGATTTATCTTAAAGTGAATATATGATCTGTAAAAGGGCGGTAGCATTTCTGAAACATGTAGATATCGTTAGGAAAAGTTGGTAAAAACAGTGAACTAGATAGATTAAAGGGTCGAGATATTTTTCGTGCATCTTAGCCCAGGAATGTCTCTTGAGTGTGTGCGAGCAAACCTTTGGTTAATGCGCTTTAGCCTAGTATTCTCTCGGTGGTATGAAATGATAAAGTGGTTGCCACGTAAGCCGGTGGTGAGCTTCACGCATAGAAAGGTAGTGGGATCACGCCCTCCTTCCTAGCCCATTACCAGTTTTAGTGAACGCCGAGGGAATTTCCAGTGGCTTTGCCTATTCGAACTGACATCCTTTTCCTTGCGGGTAGTATTCCCTGTCGTGGCTTCAAACTCTGATAGTTGGCAGAAGACCAGGGTCATATGATCAGGAACATTGACTTTTATTACACCGATGTTTACCTGTAGAGTGATTTTCAGTGTATTCACATCAACCCACTGTGAAGCTGATGGTCAAATTGCTGTTCAACTAACTTCGCTACGTTGATATATTTTTGATTCGGCAGTGAATCTTCAATATCCCACTTTGTCCGTTAATTTTAATCTCACTGAATTCTAGTTTATCATTTAGTGCTTAACTAGCTGTCCGGCTTAGGAATAGATATTTTCTGATGACAGCAGTAGTTCTCAATAACGTTACTGAAGGCTTCCGATCCACCCAAATAACGTTTTGATTAGTTGAATGAATAAACCAACAAAAAATATACTACATTGACTATACTCCAGTTTGAAGGATTTCGTATCTGTCATCACACTTGCTTGGTAACTAGTCACTGCCTACATTTTCCCTGGTGGGTGTATTTCAAGAACGCTCTCTATCACTGCATTGAAATGTTTGGTTCTCCAAAATGATTGAGAATTCTTTTGTTCTAATGGTGTGTGAGTAAACCTTGTCTGATATTTGCCTACAATGAATGTTAGTTCGTTTGGTATTGCTCGATTCTCCAGATTTATGAGGTCCACGTGCAAAACTGTGCGCAAATGTCAGTGAAACTAAAATAGCCTGTTAAGGGACTACGGGGCATGATGTCCATTATATAAAGCACGCTAGGCTTATCTTTGTAAAGAAATTCACTAACCTCACTCCAGGCTCTAATCCTGGACCAGTGTGGGTTGCTGATTCTTGTTTTGAAAATTTTTTTAAGAGAATTTCTTTCTCCTGGCAGGTGTGAAAACAAAACAAGGAGTGGCGAGTGCCACTGGTAAGATTAATCAGAAGTATATAAAGGGGCGTTCATCGGCATAAAAACATCAAATAGCAGGGAGACATATTTGGTTTCAGCGAAGATAAATGATATGGCGTTATGGAGATACGTGGGAAACGTGAAAGGAAACCAGGGAAACAGAATATGAAGTCCAGAAGTACGACAACGCAAAAATCTGTGCAAATGGTGCGCTGAAGATATATTACAATACCACTGAGCTGAATAACATCGCCGCCAAAAATGCGAGTAACCATATTGTCTAATACCCCTGCATCCTCGTCCGTTGCTATGGAGGCTTTATAGCTATTTATAATTTTGTATGCTTTTTAAACTGAATTTTCCATAAAAATGTTTTCTGATATACGCAATATCGGAGGCGTAATATGCTTGAATAGCATAACATTTGCTGGCCTTGTATGAAGAGATGTTGCCTGATGTGTACATACGAGCAATATAATATGTCAAAATAGGAAGCAGGTTAAGAAGTTAAACGTTTAATTCTGAATTTTCATGAAATCAGACATGTATATTTCTCCTGTTTATTCAATAATAATACTCCGTTAAGGCAGGTAAAAACACTTCAAAACGAGGTATCCCATATGTCAATGAAGTTGAAGATTGAACGATGAATTCATGGTTGTTTGCTCAAACCCAACTCCTCCATATTTTTCCCGAGAGTCATCAATTCAGCAGTCATCGTCTCATCGTTCGCTGTTCACTGGAAGACAAAAAAATATGGAGGAGTTGGGTTTGAGCAAACAACCATGAATTCATCGTTCAATCTTCAGCTACATTGACACTCCCCAACAAAAAGGGATCCATCCCTTTTTTCTATCACGACCAATACACGTTGACTTGGATGACTGGGTCACACGGACAAAGTTGATATGGAAAACAAACAGAAAAGTCAACACACCACAGGCATACCCAAAGCACAATTTCACACATCCACAACAACCTACGCTCTCCAATTAAAGGCGTCCTCTTGGCATCTTGCAACACAATCGCCACTTGCTAGAATGACTCTTGCAGAATGCAACGTGACCACAGCACCACCTCATGATGCTCTTTGCACATCGTCTTATCTATTCACTACCAATTACCACTGAAATCGCTTGTCACTCATTCTGCCTCAGTTCTAGTAACGGTGACGTATGCAAGCCTCAGTCGTCTACACTCTCACTCCCCAGCGTGTGGGACCACAGCTAACAATTATCTCCGTGTGCATTTCATTCTCAGCAATAGCCTAGCCTCCCCGGCGTATACGACCCATCTGCTGTCTCTAACATCAATCAGTTCATTCACGGATATAGAAGACTCGAAACAACTTCAGAAGTAATCACGACGAAAATTTTAACAAAATTATACAATAACAACAAGGTACGAAAACAACAAGTAAACACAATGAATCCAAAAACACCAATTGATATGACACACCACACGTATATACAAACAGTACACACAAACTCGCAGTTCATGTCCTGATGGAATTCCTTTGAAGAATTGCAGGACTTACACCAGTACGCCTACAACCCTTCACAGGTTGACGATTGTAAATTGTGGAATGTCCGGACACAAACAAGATTATTCAACAATTACAATAATTGGAACTCACACAACTATTTAACATAAACATAAGTACAATCAACACATCAAATGTTGTGGATTCTGGCACGACAAACTACCCTTGAAGAACTGTAGGACTTACAGCAGTACGCCTACATTCCTTCTCAGGTTGATGATCCAAGTGGAAGTCGTCCGGACACAAACAGAATTACCAACAGCTAGATGACAGATGATATCAATTCAGTATATACAATATGAACTTATGTACAAAATCACACACCAAGCACGTTGGACTGCTCATTGATGCGGTTCCCTTTGAAGAATTGTAGGACTTACAGCAGTACGCATACAACCCTTCTCAGGTTGACGCCCTAGGTTGGAAAATCGTTGCAGAGTTCATTTGCTAACTTCCTTCTATCAGCTATATCCTCAAATCTGAACGGTAACACGCCCATGTCATTGTATCGTAGAATATAGATGACGAACAAACACACGACGTATCTGGTCAACCAAGCGTAGAAACAGAGTAATTTACACCAAAGATAATAACATTCAAATAGTAACTTGAAACTAGAAATGCCTTTATTCGTGCAAGTCAATTTAACAATTACTCTTTCGTTTACACTTGACTTATCCTCTCTAAACTGACCAATATCTTTCGTCTTTTCAAATGCATCAATACTATTGTCAGCCACGTCTCATAAACCGTTAATGCCCAGCTCTTGCTACGCTCGGGCTCACGCTGTTCCCTCAGTTTTTCAGAAACGCTTAGTAATAACGGACGAAAAAACCAAAAGACCGATTGGCCACTCGAGAATTCTTTATTGTTACACCAACATATAAAAATAATGTTTTTACTAGGGTCTGTGAATAAATATTACAATAATAAATCACAATATTACTTCTGATGGTTTACTGCTGACTTCTTTCTGAACAGCGACCGATGAGACGATGACTGTCGTATTGATGCCTCCGCGGAAATTGGGGAAGTTGGTTTGAGCAAACAACCATGAATTGATCGTTCAATCTTCAACTGCATTGACAACTATCATAGTCATTGCACAAGATACTTGAGTTTATGGGCGACTGTTTCTTTGTGGATGACAACACTAACGATGACCGATTGATACCAGTTGATGAAGTTAGCGGTGGATCAGAAGCTGTTGTTGCTCGACTTTCAGAAATTTGTCTACCTCCAAGACCACCACGACTGCTGTCTTTTACTATCAGCTCAGGTTTAACACTAGCATCTGATGATAGGTGGGCTACATGCTGATCACTCACACTGACGGTTTGGCAAGTATACATGCCTTCTGCAACTGCATCTGCATTTATTTCCACTTCACGTTCAAGTTGTACAGAAACTTTGTTCAACTTAGCAGTAGTAGGCATATCCAGCATCTCATCATGATCAACCAAAGACAAATGTGAAGTATCACGATCATTATCACGAATATTCACTTTACCGTCAACTTCATTATTTTCAAACTCTTTAATAACAGAAGTAGACAATTTTGATTCCTCCTCGCAAATCCTAAAAGGTCTTATAACTTCACTCTGACTAGCAATACCTTGTAAACTTGTGGAGTGAGAACTGGACTCTGAAGCAATAACTCTATGCTGTGACACTCTATTCAACAATGGCTTACCAGTTGCAACTACAGACTTCTTGACCGCACTGTTATCGTCACACAATTCGGAGTCAGGCCTGGAGTTTACATTTAGCTTATCACTGAACTAGCTCACCGGTTCACAGTTCACCTTTTTATGCACCTCTTGCAAACGTGTAATACACAACCGTGTTTGTCATGCATCTTGTAACTTATCTATTGAGGATGTACCACGAAACCTGTTACACTCACTAGGTCTATATTCATTACTATACATCATGGAGCCTTCTCGATATCCACCTCTCTGAGGCATACTCGTCATCAATGATTGCATTTTACCCTCAGACTGCTCTATTCTATGGGTGAGATAAAATAGACTGGCAAACTTGCTCATCGATTGATTGACACTATCTTTTACTAGTTTCAGGATATCATCAAACTTTGGCTCGATACCCTCATCCTCCATACGAGAGCTTATCTTCACCCACTTCCTTTGCAGTCGAGTAGGTAG